TGAAATGACTCTTTTGGTTATGATGATGCTGTTATTTATGAGTGAGGAGTTATTCAAACTGTAGAATACTTACATAAATTACATATTCCCCTAGCTTTAGCTCTGGGAGCCGTTATCAGCGCACAGTGCATTTCAAGGAATAATCCTACCAGGTACCCATTTACCTCACCTGGGTCGAGTGTGGCAAATTTAGATTAATGTCTTGCCAAAGGACATTAGTGCTGCGGTGGGACATTGAACCATGAACCTTGTGATCCACTGTCCAGTGGGACATTGAACCATGAGCCTTGTGATCCACTATCTGGTGACATATCCACTCGACCACGACACCTCTACATGTACATGAATTCTCATACATGTATATCAGCACAGTATGAATTTTCTTTTCCTTTTTTAAAACAGCAATCATAAAAAACCACACCAAACAAAGAAAGAAACAACAACATAGAGACAGATAATCTTCTTTTTTTTTCTTTCTAGCAGCTTGATACAGATACTGTACTTGCAGGCATGTACAGTAGGCATATTGTGTAATCAACTATTTTCATAATAATGTAAACTGCTCAAAATGGTAAACTTTTGAGGTCTGTTACTTTAGAAAGAGAACAACTGACCTGGATTCTATTTGATATCATAATAAATTACCTGATCTATAGTTCTGTTATTTTGCCTTGTGTACTGTACATGTATGTCATTTTCATCACTGTTAAAAAAGTATAAGAATCTTTTTCATGCCATGTCTCACCTTTTACCAAACTACAGTACGTGTATACAGGGCGTTTAAAGCACCTGCAAAGACTTCCTTGGTGAAGTCAATAAACTTTTTATGAAAATGTGAAAAGGAAGTGCATGAAAGTCACTGATCTACTATGAACTTGTGACTACTACCGGTAGCTCCTCTTGTATTTTGTTCGTATCACCTGTACAGGCATTCGCACAAGATGTCTAAGTAAGATTATACAAGACATGTTGCAGCTACAGTGTGTAATGAAATGAGTAACACTACCTCAGGCTTCTATAGTTTTGTTTTTATCACCTGCCTTGTGTAGATTTGAAATCTGATCAGTTGAAACTACTGTATGCTTGACAGTTTTTATGGTAAATGATAAGTTGTCTACACTAAGTGGTTATATAAGCTTCACACATATCAAATACAAAAAATATGAAGATGGAACTTGCCAAGATAAAATATTTGAGCAAACTTCCTTAATTCATTATTGTATTACATATACAGGTAGAGTTATTTGAACGCTTTTATTTTCCTTGAATTTTGTAAATTCAAGTAAATATCATACATGCTGACATGCAGTTTGTTCACACCTCCAGATTTGCTCAATTTCTTTGCGTCATTGAGTTGAAAATTTTGTACTGTCGACTGTATCTAGTGACTGCAGAGCCATGAGGGAGAACAATATTAATACTATTGGTGCTAGCCTGGTTAAACAAGACATACATGTACATGTATCATCACCATCACCATCACCATCATCATCATCATCATCATCATCATCATCATCATCATCATCATCATCATCATCATCATCTTCATCATCATCATCATCATCATCATCATCATCATCATCATCATCATCATTATTAGTAGTAGTAGTTGTAGTAGTATTGTTATTTATCTTGTCAAATGTGTGAGCAATTAAAAGTTGAGAGTTTTGTGCATATGCTTCTAGTGTGAGATAATTTTACGTAATGGAATGTACATGTATTACATGTACCGGTACTGTTTGTTAAAATTTGCTTTTTGATAGAGCTAAAAAGTACTGGTATTTAAATGCCTAGCATAGTTGGTCACACAGTTTAAGTCACTGTCCGTGTACATCATGTAAGTCTACACTAGTGCATGTAAGCTATGCCTTCATATTCAGAGAGAAAAAAAAAGTCAATTTCCAGCAATATCATGAACTTGAAAGAAGATAAATTTCTGCCCTCGAGAAATGAAACCTAGCATGGGTGAAATTCCAGGTTGCCTTCTTGAAGCAAATTAATTCCAACACTTCAGTGATGGATTTGGCCATATCTTGACCTTGCTGACCTAGGTCAAAGTTATGTTGGCCAAGCTACAGGTTGTTTACAATTGTTGGGAAGGTATTTGACTTTTTGTTTTTTTCTTGAAAAACTGTTTGACCTTTTTCGTTTAGAAGACATGTTATGTGTGTAAGCTTGATCTCTTGAGGGCTAGATTTACATGAAGTTTATCAGGGCATCCAATAAAAATATGCAGAGGAAAAGAATGAAGACACTGATAGGGAGAGTGGATTGGAAGAGCTTCACCAATCCCCTGAGCTCTTGGGTCGGTAGCAGGTGAAAGTGAGGGGGCAGGGATCGAAGACATGTTTATTGTTGGGGGCATTCACGTGAGCGAGCGAGCGCACCGGTCGCAGATGAGAGAGAAATTGGACAGGGGGATTTGAGATTCTGTTTCATTAGTGGGGAGCGCAGGATTTACAAGATTGTATTCAGCTTCGTTGAATGATTTCAAATTGGCTCTGGTGTACATGGGTCTTGCATGGATGCCTAGTCAGTTGGAATATTACAGGGATGTTATTACATGCAGTACTTGCTCCGAGTTCACTGTACTCTGGTATGTTGGCGTTTCAAAATCATACTTTGAAATTAATGTAAACTGTGTATAATTATTTAGATTAGGGATATTGTATCTTGTTGATTGTTGGTATTTTCCATTTTATGATGGCATATTCTTCAAATTGCCTCTACAAGTTCTGACAGGTCATCAGGCTTTCATCAAACTAGGGAATAACTACTTGATCATACTTTGAATGTTTGTTTGTTTTATTTTAAACAAGTAGCTATCAAGGCTCATTTCAATTCAATTATATATGAAGACATGAAAAAGTAGACAAAGGTGTACTGTAGTTTCGGGCATATTTGAGAATTCAGATAAACTACAGCATTGTCCAAGAATACAGTAGTTTCCTAGAAGCAAATAAATCAATATTTCAGTGAACATTACGTAATTTATACTTAATAAACTCACACTGTCACTGCTAAAAGAACTTATATTTTAACTTAAAGGTTGACCAAGAAATAACTTATTGAAATGCTTTTTATCCAATGGAGAAGGTGCCAGTGCTACCATTTATTAAAATTGCAAGTAATGTTATTATTTGAAATGTCGGTGCAGTAGAAGTCTTTTGAAATCCCCCAAATTTTTTTTACTACCTTTATGCACCTGCAATCTACATGTACATGTCCAAATACCTACATGTACATCTGTACCTCGGATCAAATATCACCCAGCATAAAACGGGTAAATGCCTTCCATAAAATGATAATAAAAGCAAACACTTGTTTCCCAACAAAGACATTTACAACAGCTCAGATGGAATAGGTAGCGTCTGAAACATGATTTGCACTAGGGTTGGCAGCGTGATAAAAACTGTCATGGAAATAATTTTCTTTATGTCACAGCAAAACCTGGGGAAATGTGAAAGTACAATGTATATCAAATGTTTTTTTGGAGAACTTTTCACAATGGTTATGCATTCAACAAATATTTTTTGTTTGATGTTGATTTGCTTAGCAGAACTAGATATTCATTAAAAAACCTTATTGTAACAATTATACCTTTGGGAATGAGTGTCGTGTCTAAGACATGCGTAATGTTCAAGCTTGATTAGTAAATTTTGCCGGATGATAGCCTTCTTGGAGCCCTGCATGCAGTCAGTGTTTAAAATGGCAAATTGCTTTATTTGCTAGTTAGGTAATTGGAAGGAGCATTGCTTATTACCTCTGCTTGTTCGCAAGTTACCAGACCATCCAATCAACTAATTAATGTGTTGTAATCTGATACAAGCGTATTAATGCTCTGTGACAAGTATGTGGATTAATCAGTCGTATAAAGAAAAAAAATCAAAGGTATCGTCTGTTTGGAGCCAGAAGGGCATTAACTGTGTATAAAATGCTATGAGTTACTGGTAACACCCTTCTGGCTTTGACAGATGGCATGCTCAGTGAAAGTATGGCTTTGCATAGTCTTTATCCGCGTAAACCTATACATTTTTACATTTTATTCATCATGGAAAAAAGCAAGTGGTGTCAAAGAGTGAACTCTATCTCGGCTACGGCTGTCAGATAATGATGATGATAATGTGAGGGCATACTTTCAAATCAAACTATCGCATCGAGTACCAGTAGCAGTCTATTACAACCTGTACACACAAATTATTTTCTTAAATGACCCATATTTTACCCTTTATCAGATTGTTGAGAACCTGATATGCTGTCTGAAAACACAAAAATTGCAGGAGTCGTCTTGACAATAACAAATTCGGAATTTTCCTGTAGGCCTATGTATGTCCTGCAAGAGATATCTCATAGACTACTTTATATACCTGGTATACTGTATGTTTGTTGCACATACAATGTACACTGTAGTTCAGGTATGAAAACTATTTAGATTCATTGGCAAATTAGTGCACCTTGTACCTTTTAGAGTGCAGTATGTTTATGATAACTGAGATCAATACATATTTGCCCACGCTCATTGCCTATAGAATTGGACGTGGGGTCGTACATGTTCATACATTAAGGTTATACAATCAATAAAATATACGTGGTGTACCCTGTATGTGCCCGTGGATACATATTTCATACATGAATGAACAAACATTGTAATCAATTTAAGACGTGCAAAACAATATCTTTTCCAGATTGCTACAGTGTTCATGTACATGTACACAAGAATGTTCAAACACTGCAATGTGCATTAAAAGTTAATGTCATTTACAATGTACGATACATTACACTGTAAAGCACATTTTACACTTCCATACTGTATTGGCCTATTTTGAAATTACTGAAAGAAACTACATTTACCGGTAGACATGGTTTATGTACAGAGAAGGTATGTTTTATTCTGCAATTATGACCCCTTCAGACAATATTGATGATAGAAAGATCCATTGTCATATATACTCTTATACACCTACGGTAATGTATTTTCTTTCTTTCTTTCTTATGTGCAGGATGTTTAGCTGTGATACGAGGAGAAAAGGAGCCACTTTCACCTTGAGATAGAACCAGTGGAGCTCTATAGAGAGGTAGAAGACAAGGTATTGATATTTACAAAGGTATGTTGACACCTTGTTTTTTCTTCTTGATTGTTTGTATTTATTGTTGTTGTTGATTTCCTCTGAGATAAACCTCTATAAATGTATGATTCCTTGTTACACATTCAACATTTGCTGCTTGAAGATTAACATTCATGTTTTTATTTTCAGTGAATGATATTTATACTTCAGTGAATGTTATTTATACTTCTAGTACTTTATATGAGTAGTACAGTGAACAATGTAGGCCTTCTCATACATGTAGGACCTACATGTATGAAGGAAATCATAACACATCAATATTCACGTGGACTTATGCATGTGGCCTGGTAGATCTTATCAATGAGATGAATATTATTGGAATACTATACATGAAAGAAACATGGGCATGAATGTAATCAAAATTAATGGGTTCATATGCAGTTGAATGTCCTACCAGTGTCCATGCTATCTTATAAAAGAACCACCACCCCTTTCAGTTGCTAGCCACTGTGATGTATGAGAATGCTCATTTGAGTGCATGCAACCGCAAAGAAATGAAGCTTGCACACAGGTAAATCAGGGCTGAAATTGGCTGGAAATGGTTATAGCATGGCAGACGAAGCGTACTTCCACTCCCAAGACCTGCGACGGACGGAAAGGCATCTGGAGGACGCTAATTATGATTTGTGTGCCAGATATGTGACCATTTCATCTGTAGATCTGCAAAATTGAAAATTCTGCACATTGTAAGAAATAAAATATGGTATTTTCATATGGTGCACAGTTGCTTAATTTCAGACAGTAGACATACATTTTCCGGCAATAAAATGCATGCCGTGTCAGGTACATGATTGCTACCAAAGAAAATGAATAATGCAGGCCTATAGATGTACATTATATCTGTTCCAAAACAGATGGCCTGCAAATCAAATCTGTAGTGATTTTGGAGCTGTTATGATTTTCATTTTCTGTCTGTTTTCCACAGCTTGTAATTGTAGTTCAGCTGGGACCCTCTCCTTACTTATTCATTCCCTGTGTCACTGTATAGGATAAATACATAGGCTACATGTACATGCCGAAACACAACAAATTTAACATTGTTTAATCTGGAAAGTGATAACACGTATGATTACAGCCATACATTTTTTTATTGCCAACAATCTTGTTCAACTCTAGTCTTCCATTCAGTACTATTCATACTTGCTGCTAGTTGTAAGGATTATATTTTATCATAGCCCCCAGGCCTTTCTTGAAATGAGTCGATTAATTAACAATACTGGTATTGAACCAACTTTAGTGGGGTCGTTATAAATGATGGTAAAATCCAAACAAAATACCATTTTTCAAAACATAATTTTTCAGAGAAATAGTGTAGCATATTGCACTTCATTTTCATGCAACACACATTTTCATGCGACACACAAATAAAAGAACAGCATAGATTTTTCATGTGCCGTTTCTCTCGTTTTTTCTCCATTGTTCACAGCCATAGGGACGTCATGAATAAGTAACTCATGCCGCTTTGGTGAATTTATGCTTCATGTTTTATGTTTACATACTGTCACACAATGCACACACACTGTCATTTTCTCACTCAGTATTATGACATGAAAGAATGCTCACAAAAGCCTCCACTCCTTATTACTCTTCTAGTGCCTTGATGGTAGATTATTGACAACGGAAAAGAATAATTTATGTAAAAAATATACAATATGCCATTGCATAAAGTTGAACTACCCCTTCCCCCTGCTCGTTGAAAGATAACAGTGTTGCTGCATTGGCTTTTATTTCAGTAAAGCTCTTAGTTTCCACTCCAAAATATGAGTATGGAATACAATATTAAAAATGCATTGTCATGGCAACGGGAGTGTTTAATGATCTTTTGTTGCCAGAATTATTTGACTTTGTGTAATAATAGATCTTGAAGTCTTCCATAGATTGGTCACTGTGACTTCAGCATTTCTTTATTTGATATACAGATATTTATTAAGTTTTTACAGTATTAGGCAATCATTGATGAGAAAATAAATTAGATTAATGGCAATCTGCCCTCATTAATTTAAATGTCTGGTTGAATTGTTTAATCTGAGTAAAGAAGCAATTTATTAAGATCAAATGTACCTCTGAATGGTGGTCATTAAACCCACATTATTCACAAGGCTTGTTCACCTTGAAGGTAAAAGTAATCTTACATTCACACATTCCTAATTGCTTGACTGTAGCGCATACCATTCTTCCAATGTTTCTAAATGCACTCGGCTTTACTGATTGAATGGGAGTAGTGATGGGTTTTATTGGTTCGTGGTGCAAGCTTGTATTACAATAGGGAGGCTATGAGTCACCATAGGCCGGGGAAAAAACCTTTACTAATTAAGTGCTCACAAGATTGGAAAATTATGCAGGAGGAGAGGGAGTCCATTTAAGAGTATTATTTAAGATTACAGCAAGAGATACTGATTTGAAGGGGGACAAAACTAGAAGGAAAGGGGGGAAAGAAAAAGGAAAGAAATTAAATCTACATGTATATGTTTTTTGAAAGAGGGATTGGGTTTAGAGAGATTGTGTTCATATTTTGATTTGTCTTCTGTAGCGAATATGTACATGTTCAGTTTGTACTTGTACACAATTTGTGTGCAATGAAAGTTATTCATTCAATATGAAAAAAAGAATTGGTATGAAAAAAAGTGAGCTCTATACTGAAATTCAAACTTTGTGCTTTTTAGATTTTTTGATCTGACATAGCATTTATTTTTGGATTATCTTTTTATTTTCTTGGACCGGCTTTGTATTTTATATTATTCATGTAACATCATAGTGTAACTTCAAATGCCCATGCATAGACATGTACAGTCTGCTTGAGAATTCCTCATGAAATTGTTTATCTTTATGATTTTTTTTCTTTTTCCTCTGATATTGAAGCTGATAGACTAATCCACAAGTAAAGCTCATTGAAATCTTCAGTCACATTCAATACTCTCAGCTGATTATGATCACTTATATATGTTACATTAAAAGTTAAACCATAGATATCCAGTGTACAGCACAGATTTTGAAATAGGGAAGGAAATATAGCATTCTTTATCAAGGCATACATCAATTCATTCACTCGAAGTGTAATGTGACGGACTAGAAACGATGACTCACAGTTTAACCAAGCCAGCCCACAGATTAGTATGCAAATTCAAGCAGGCATTGAATTTATACTGTAGCATTCTCGGTTGAGTGCAACAGGGGGAAAGGATTTTTTGTACTAAAAAAAAAAAAAAAAAAAAAAAAAAATCACATCATTGTTGTAATATGTGATGAAACTGATGATACAATGTACTAAAACCATTTGTTTCCATACTGTTTGGACTCCATAAATAGTTCTTGTGCATTTCTAGTTTTAAAAAACACAAAATTAAAAAATAAATAAATATATATATATATACAGTATATATATATATATATATATATTATGTAAACATGTAGCAGTGAAGACAATACAATGTATTTTAGAGTAAACACATTCATGTAGCCTACCCCTTATCAATGTGCAGTGTTTTATTCTTGCTCTACAATGTCTGCACATCTCAAAAGAAGTAATGTCCTTTACATCAGCCATCTCCTCTTTTCAAAACTTTACAAATGGATTGGGGACAATCGAGTGTGATACATTTGTCTATTTTCAAGCTCTACAGTATATACAATCTCATTGTTGATCTCTGCATGTACAGTACATTTATAATGTATGGCAGTCTCTAGACAAATCCAGTGAGAAAAAAAAAAGAATGAAGAAAAAGGTTAAGAAAAAGCAGCTTGCAAGGAAAAATGAAATGGAAAAGCAGCATTAGCAAGATTAGATCTCTTTCTCAGGATTGTGTATGTAACAAAACCTTGTTTGTACATTAGAGAGATTGATGGATTAGGTAACATTAGATGTGTGATACCTCACCCAATGCTACATACATTATGCATTGCATTGTCATGGAAATATTGTGAAAATGTGTAATTTAACCTTTGCCAACCTTAAAATGGGTAACCTTAAAATGGGCCAATGTCATTCTCCAATAAACGCCTCTCCATCCAGGAAGTAGGCTTAATGTATTGAGACAAGGAATACCATGCTAAAAAAAGCTTTGCTGTTGACGCATCCATGTATTTTCTAATGGTTTATCCCAAGCGCCTTTCATAATTCACGTGTACAGTCATGGCACAGTCTGAACAGCTTTTAGGTTGCCATGGCAATTGTGCAACAGGTGCATTTGTAAAGTGTGAAGCCTATAATATGCCACTCAAAGTGTTATATATGGTACAGTATGTGAGAAAACTGAGGGGATCGAGTCAAGTTACATCGGATTAATCATTTATGAAGATGAGCAATTTTGTCTGTCCATTTCTATTATCTTTTTAGAATGAAAAGTTGTGTGGCCGCCATCATCACTTTTGTTTGCAAGGGCAATGCAGTGTACAAATAATAAAAAAAAAATCTTCATCTTTTATTTAAACCTAGATATTGGATTACTCCAGATATTTTATTCAGTACTCAATTTCATTTGGTGTCTGGGGAAGCAATGAATCAGTAATTAATCCACGATACACTGTATGTTAACAATATGATAAATGCTTTTTACCTGAGAGTGATTTCTGTAGTAATTTTAACAAAAAATATAAGATAGGTAAGATCAAGGGGTTATTTGCAACAAACCTCTAAAGATGTCCAATATTGCATAAAAGATTTGTTTAATGTTTTGTTTGTTGTACCTGTATGTAAATGTACAATTAAAGGAATTCTCGATGTATCTGCACTTGCAGTTGAGTTGCGATTGATTTAAATCAATCGCAAATGTGCAGTCTCCTATCTCGTATGTACATAGTTGCAAGTGATATCAATTGAAAATAAGTTACGATTAATATCAATTCTTTATAAGACAGGGCCTAGGTTTTGTTTCAAATAAGTAATACAGTATGAAAAAAAGCAGTAGGAGGACGAAGATACAATGTACATGTACATGTACTTGTTCTGGTGTTGGTTGTTCTGGTGTTGGTTGTCCATTGGG